TTTCAAATTCACACGCCAGATCGGCGGATTGAGAAGCTTGTGGTAATCCATTGGTGTTTGCTACTCGGGGCCCTCTTAGGACCGTCTTGGTGGCCATTTGGACGCCTCTTGGAGCCTCTTTTTGGCCTCTCGGGGGGCTTGGAGGCTTCGTGGGGCCTGTTCGGGGCCTCTTGGGGCGGAAAGCTCGGATTTCCGGTTCGTGCTCCCCCTCGGGCTTTTTGGGGAACCCTTTCGGGGCGAGCATTGTCTGTCTTTGGTCCCTCTTGGGGCCCTCTTGGGCAGTCTTCGAGCGGTCTACGGGGCCACTGTGGCCGTCTTGGAGCGTCGGAAACTCAAGAAGGCGAGAAGCTTGCAAGCATTGAAAAACCTAAGGACAACTATTTGTTTTTGCTGCTCGGGGCCCTCTTGGGACGAGTCCTTGTCCTGTCTGGGAGCGTTTGGAAGGCTTCTCGACTTCTCGGGCCGTCTTGGAGCTATCTTAGGTGTCTTGTCCCGATCGTTCGGCGATGCGGAAACGTCGCAGAGGCCACGGAATGTAGATTTGGAGGCTTTGGAGGCTCTAAGGGTGCGCCAAGGAGCTCGGATACACCCCGCTTTAAACAAGATGTTGGGCCTTGGGGGAGGTGGACAGGGGGAGGGGGGCGAGCAAATTGTCTCACACGCCTTTGCACCCCCGGCAAGCGGGGGTCGGCGGATTCCAGCTTCTGCCACGCAGCGCCACCCACGCCACTCCCTGATACGCCAGCGCCACCGACCTCTCTCAACTCTCAGTGGTTACCGCGACTGCCATATTCCGAATCTTCTGGTCTGCGCCAATCCCTCTGAACTTCACCTCTGATCCTGCGCTCCTCGGCGCTAATTACGGGAAGGGGAGGCGTGTGCTGACCTGAGGGGCGGCTGGGGGTGAGGCGCTGTCATGGAGTTCGCTTTCGGCCGTCCCGCGCAGCGGAGAGACACCAAGCGCCAGGCCGAGGAGGGCCCCTACCCCCCCCCCTCGGAGGTAGTATGGTTCCCGCTCGGGCCGCACTGCGGGCACACCTCACGTACTACCCGCCAAACCTTCCTCACTCGCCTGCACACCGGACGCAGGTTGCTCGCCGTACAGCTCTCATTACTCCCACGATGTTGCATCATTTATCCCTGCCTTGCTAATGCAGGATATGGACAGGAGGCTGATGGGTCCCCCCTCAAAGGAGGAGGAGGAGGAGGAGGAGGAGGAGGAGGAGCAGCAGCAGCAGCAGCAGCAGCAGCAGCAGCAGGAAGACTAGGAGGAGGAGGAGGAGGAGGAGGAGGAGGAGGACGCGCCAAGGTGGGTCACTCCCTCTCCCTCGGGAGGGTGGAACCCGCGCTCGGGCCTCCCACCGACACCGCTGCGCAGCCGATGCGCAGCCTGTCCCCCCTCCTCCCGGCAGTCCTTCTGTCGTCTCCGCCGTGTTGTCGTTCCCTTCTTTCTCATCCGATCTGTTTCGCAAGGAGCAAAGGGTATTTCAGTTCCCTCATACCATACGCATGCTTTGTGCGCTATTCGTGTAATGTATCCGTGCCCCTCCTTCCTCCTTCCCGCTTCCTTCTCCCTCGCATACTCTGCTCGTCATGCTCTGTTACTCACATTGGTCCGCCACTATTCAGCTTTACCCACACTCAGACCCATTCGGATGCATTCGTACCCAATGTTGTTTCCTCAGACGTCTCACACGCAAACATTCAACACGCAGGCACACTGGCACTCAATTTCATATTCACGCAGCCAGACGTACACTCATACACTAAACGTTCAGGCTCATATGCAGATGTATCCAGACCCAACGATGTCCATACCCTCTCACATTCAGACTTATACTCAGCCTTACTCACGCCCGTGATCATCGCGACGTAGCACGGAATGCACTCGGGCCTCCCAAGTGGTCGTTGCCAGAGGGTGTTGCACGTGTCCATTTGCGCCTCGATTGCCGGGACCTATCAGATAAAAACATGTTTTCGCCCAGTGTGCATGTCTCTTCTCAGAGCCCCATGATCACCGTGATGTAGCACGCATGGCATTTGGGCCATCCAAGGGGATGACGACTAGAGGTGTTGCACGGGCCCGTTCGCGCCCAGATTGTGGGGACCTCCTTGGCGAAAAGCCTGTTTCGGCTCAGTGGGCGAGTTTCTTCGCAGAGGCCCCATAAGCGCCGCGATGTAGTAGACATGGCATTTGGGCCTCCCGAAGTGGGAAGCCACCAGGGGGTTCTGCACGGACCCGTTCGCGCCCTAATTGTTTGGATCTATCAGACAGGCTGACCGCTTTGAAGGGGTAGACGTGTACCTCTTCAGCGTCGCATGATCATCGCGACGCAGCAGGCACGGCATTATCAGAGGGGAGTCACCAGGGGGTGTTGCATTGGCCCGTTCGTGCCCTGAATTTGTGGACGTCTCGTCTCAGGCAAAATTGCCGATTGGGGCATTTAGGCAGGTGTCTTTTCAGAGCCCCATGGCCACTGTGATGTAGCAGGCGATGAGTATGCGCAGGAGGACCCGCCAGTGGAAGCCCACCGATACAGAGACTCACTTTCATTCAGACCCAGTAATTCTCAATCACTCAGACTCGCTGATACTCGGGCAGTCATAGACATGGAAACCGTCAGAAAAGATATGCACGCATGGGGATCTCCGCGTCGAATAATGACAATCATGTTGCTAAATACCCCTCCACCTGGCGGTTGGCCGAGGTGGAAGGGGCGTATGAGGGCTCTAGTCTTTGACAGGCCGGCCCGCCCCGTTAAGGCACTAAGGAGGGTGAGGAGGAAGTGAGGGGTGAAGGTACCAGGTGATCATCGAATAAGGGAAGCAAGACGCACCACGGCGACGCTGCCGCCGCCGACGACGACGACGAAGACGAGGCGCGCTTACGATCCGCACCGAAACACGTATTTGTGACAGGGCCCGCCCTTCAAGGTTCGGAGGAAGAGGAGGAGGAGGAGGAGGAAGTGAGGAATTGGAGGAGGAGGAGGAAGTGGAGGAGGAGGAAGTGGAGGAGGATGAGGAGGAAGTGGAGGAGGAGGGTGGATGAGAGAGGGGGACGGGCGAGTGCGAGGAACGCAGCGACTGCGAGGGCGCACGGCGCGCAGCGCACGTCGATGTGGCCATCGACGTCGACGTCGTCTTCACCGCCGTCGTCGAGTCGACGACGCCGTTCGTCGTCGTCGTTGTCGTCCGCTGTCTGGCGTCCGTCACCTGTCGTCCGTCGTCCGCCGTCCGTCGCTTGTCGTCCGTCGTCCGTCGTCGCCGTCGTCGTCACCGTCGTCGTTCGCCGTCCGTCGCCGTTGCTGTCGTCTCCATGCGTTGTCGTTCGCCCCCTGCTCGCCCCTACGTTGCTAGGAGCCGCCGCTGGAGGAGTCCGCCGCCGGCGCCGTGGCGGCGGCCTGCCTTCTGTCGGAGGAGGCGATCACGCCGGGGGGGGGGCAGAACACATACCGCCAATGCAGTAAGACGCAAGAGCAAGGTGAAGTTTTTACCGTCTTCGGCCTCTTGGGGCCCTTGTTTGGCCCAGGGGCTGTCAAAAAACGGCTGGATGGAAAGACAGACTTGGGGGAAGGGTCGAGACTTCTGGAGGCCGCGCGTTGAAACAAGGTAGCTAGGCGAGGAGCCCAAGCCTAGCAGATTTCGGTAACGTTGGTGATGTACCTCTGTATGCACGATCTGTGGATGTGTCGGCATGAGTGGGGGACGCGTACAAACAATTCCGCTGAGGTCGTGGGTGGAGCTCCCTATGGGACACGATCCGTCACAGAAGTGTGCGAAATTGGTGGGGTGAACGCGCGCGAACCCTGCCTCTACGGCCGTCGGCGGAGCTCCCTGAGGTTCACGAAACGTCTTCCTGGCGCATAGGGGTGATGGGAGGTTCCGGAAACCCACTTTCAAGGCAAGGGGGGAGGGCGGTTTTGGACCCCCTCCCTTTCTCCGCCTGCAAACTACGACGACGGCGAGGGACGATGACGACGACGGCGGCGAGAAGGGGGATGGTTCTCACCCCACCCCCTCTTGCGACAGGCCGGGGAGGGATCCGAAACCCTCCACTCCCCCTTTCGCCAGGGTGGGGGGAGGGTTTGGGGGGTCGGCGTCAGAGCACGTCTCCGGAATTGTTTTCGGAAACAAGTGTCAAGACCTCCTCTTTTCTGGGCATTTTCCAAGGCAAGCGGATTTGGAATGCGCTCTCACCTTGTTGAATAGCTCGTGTTGACGAGTTTAGCGCAGATGCAGATGCGCATTGGAAACCAGTCGGTCGGCCCTGAAGGGTTGAATTGCTCGTGTGACTGACTTGCTGACGATCTTCAAATAACAGCGGAGGGTGAGGATACATCTTCATGTTGTTGTTTCCACACCTAGGTTTCCAGAGGCTCAAATTGCGAAAAATAAGGCCGTCACGATTTTTCCGTGGCGCCAGATCCAAGGGCCCCCCGACGTCGCCAGAGAACTCCAAACATATCCAGAGGTCCTGCGATTTCAAGATTCGATCCTCGAGCCTCGATCTCCAGATCCTGATCGTGATCGTGATGGCCGCCTGTTGCCTACTCGAGCCCGGACAGGTAGAAGTGCACCAGGAGCAGTGGTCCGCCTACACCGCGACCATTTCTGGCTTGCCCAACAAGGCGCGCTTTCGCCCTTCTCCTCGCCCTTCTCGCCCTTCCTCGCCTCCACAACCTCCACCACTTCCTCCTCCTCCTCCTCGCCCACTTCCTTCCTCCTCATCTCCCTCCTCCTCCTTCGCCTCCTCTTCCTCCTCCTCGAGGGGGAAGAGGATGTTCGGCAGCAGGAACAGGGTCAGCACGAGCAGGACGGGGAGGCATGAGAAGAGGCATGCAGGTGTTTGGACAATCCTGGGCCTCGGGAGGCTTCGAAGACCTCCAGACACCTCCTGGGGAGATCGTTTCGTTGAGTGGTGCGAGCGGGATCTGAGCTGGCCCCGCCTCTTCACCGCGCAGTTGCTGACAGACGCCATGTTCGAGGCCGTCCTCGAGCAGGCCACGCGAGGGCTGGTTGAACGAGGGGATGGGCGGTCACCCAGAACTACTTGTTTGTGTTCGTTTGTTGTTTTTTCAGCCCCGTCGTTTTTCTTCGCTTCGGCACCCAGAAGCCGTTTCCCAGCCCTGGGGCCATCAAGATTTGATCCAGGCCTCAGGAACCCACCGGATTGGACATTTCTTGTTCAAGGCCTGGCACCGCCTTGGGAGGAGGGGTAGGACGATGAGGGGGACGAGGACGTACAGGAGGAGGAGGAGGAGGAGGAGGAGGAGGAGGAGAAGGAGAAGGAGAAGGAGGAGGAAAAGAAGCAGGGGAAGGAGGAGGAAGAGGAGAAGAGGGACGCCCTTCGCGGATCTTTTGCTGGCTGAGTTTCTTCTCTTGGAGGCGTCTTGAAGCCCTGTTTTGACCTTCTTGGAGCATTATGTCTCCCTCCTGGGGGCCTTGGGGCTCTTTGGGGGTTTTCGGGGCCCTCTGGGATGAGCTTGGGCCCCATTGGGTCAAACGGCGGGTGGGAGGGGAGGGGGGGGGGGGGGGGGGGCGATTCGAGTCCACCCTAGGGGGGCCGAACAGACATCTCTTGGGGTCCTCTTGGACCGCTCCAGCAGACCTATTGGGTTTTCTTGGTGTCCGTCCCGTCGACGCTCCTGTTGGGGCCCTCTTGGGCCATCTTGGAGCCATCTTGAGGCCGCAGAGGCTCATCGGAGGCGAGAAGGCGAGCATGCACACAATGATTCCCTACCTAGGCTCTGCCTAGAAGGGTTCTTACTCGTTGGCTTAAAGGGGCCGGGCAGTGTAAATCGCCCCAGGCGGTTCTCCCAGTCCCCTGGGACCCAAGCGAAAGCAAAAGCAAGGGCAAAAGTGAAGGCAAAAGCGAAGGCAAAGCAAAAGCATAGCATAGCATAGCATAGCATAGCATAGCGCAGCATAGCATAGCGCAGCGTAGCATAGCATAGACTAGCCTAGCCTAGCCCAGCCCAGCATAGCATTGCGCAGCATAGCAGAGCATAGCATAGCATAGCAGAGCATAGCATACCATAGCGCAGCATAGCATAGCATAGCGCGGCACAGCATCCACTACTACTACTACCGCTACTGCTGCAACCACGACGGTGAGGAGAAGGAGGAGGACGGCGTTTACCGCTCCTACTAATGTTGCTTTCCTAGAGGCTCCAGCTCCTAGGTAGGGTCGCACTGGGATAATTTTCTTCAGGTCTTAGAGTTTTGAAACATTTAGGCCTCTTGGGGGTGTCCCTGAGGGGATCTGGGGTCTGATGGAGCCTTCTTGGGGCATCTCGGTGGTATGTCGAAGGCTATCTCGAGGCATCTTGGGTCATCATGTGTTATGTTGCAGGTCATATTGGATCTGAGCCATCTTGGGCACTCGCCCCCTCGGCCCCCCGAAATATTGCATCTGGGAACCCTCTTGGGACGCTCTCCGGGTGCTTTGAGAGTTCTTTGGGCCGTTGTGGGTCGTGAGCTTCTCAATAGGTCTCTGTTGGGACTCTCTTGGGGCTTTCTTGGGGCCATCTTGAGGCCTCGGAGGCCCCTCGGAACCGAAAAGGCGAGAAGGCGCGAGTCATATGCTCCGCTATTTTTGTTTGATGACTGCGGCCTCCTGTGGATCTCCTTCGGACGCTCCGTGGCCACTTGGAGCCATCTTGGATCGGTCTCGGGGCATCTTGGAGGCATGCTGGAAGACATCTTGATCCATCTGGAGGCCGTCGTGGTCTATCTGAAGCCATATTGGGGCCATCTTGGCCCAAAGTCCTCTCAAGAACACCCCCCATACGACGAAGCGCAGGTGGCAGCGCTGATTAGCACCGCCCTTCTGGAGCCAAACACATAGCCTCTGGGGGCTCTCTTAGGACGCTCTTAGTGCCGTCTTGGAGCCATTGATGGGCCCCCTTTGGGACTCTGTTAGGCCATCTGGGAGCCACCTCGAGACCTCAGAAGCCCGTCGGACGCGACCGGGAAGCAGGACAACACGTCGTTGGTTTTCCTTCGGTTTGGGAAAGGTTTAGGCCTCTTGGGGGCGTGGAAGGCTGCGTGACTACCTGGAGTCGTCTTGGAGTGGTCTTGGGACCATCTTGAGCCATTTCCGGGGTTTTGATTTGGAAGCTTGGGAGGCTAAGTTGGGCCGTCTTGGAGACATATTGTGCTATCTTGGACGCTCTAGCCGCTGCCCAACCCCTCCCTGTCCAGACCCAAGTGGAGGGGGTCGGGGGAGCTGCAAGCCCCTCCCAAAGGGGAATAAGAGGGTTGAAAGAGGAAGCGTCTTCAACCACCTCTGGCCAGACGGCTGATGGGATTTGGCCACATTGATGCTCAACTTTGTAGTCGGCCTGGAGTAGAGTTGGCCAGATCTGGCTGGGTAAGGTGTTGGCCATACAATATATGTGTGATGCAGACAGCTGTATTCGATTTGCTATGCGCTTCACGACTGGAGGAACAAACAGCAAATCAAGCAGACAACGCAATACGTGAGTCTTCTCTCCACTGTCCTAAGACATGAATGCAACAAGTGTTCCTGGATACCCCCAAAGCCCCTTCTGTGTTTCCCCCTCTTTGTCCCTTCTCCCTAGCCGTGTTGGCTTAGGCGCCTGAGTGAGTTCGAATTGTTCATCCGCCCGAGGAGGAAGGAGCCCCTCCTCACCCAACTACGACCCCCACGATCCCATATGTATCAGTAGTCTGAGACAGTGGTAGGCGGAGCAATGTCGGAGGAAACGGTGAGGCAGGCCATGAACCTCGGAGCGGGTGGAGGCTCGGCGCACGACGGCGTGACGGCAGAGCAGAAGACCGACCCAAGGACGCCTGGAAGGAGGTAAGCACGCCCGACAGGAAAGCGAGAGGAACAGGATCAGCTGCACTTCCTGGATTCTCTGACTGGCAAGATTGGGGGCCTAGTCGAGACGGATCGAGTGGATAATGGAAGCAGGTGCGGCAGTGGGCTCCAGCCGAGGATGAGACGACAATGTCGTGGAAGCGTGAACACTGGTCAACCTCGGCATTGGCAGCAAACCCTTCACTGGAGCCCAGGCTGCGAGACCACGAATCGGGATTTCGGTGCTCCTCCGCCATGGCTCGGGTTTGACCACCTGCAGGTGCACAAAGACAATCTCAGAGCCTGGACCCGGAGAGCGGGATTCAAGGAGCGCGCCCAGGCAGGCCGAGTTCTCGAGGGACTCCCAGTGGACAGGCAAGTGGAGTTCCGCAAGATTAGGACCGAGCTCGAGGGGCCCGACGGAGTGGAGGAGCTCATCCAGCACCTCTCTCCTGAACGGCGAAAGGCCCGGCGATGCAGAACGAACGGCACACAATGCGTCGCTGTTCGACTACCAGATTCGCAAGACCGAATCACTGACGGAGTACGTGATTCGGCGCGACGCCCAGGTGCTCGAGGCCGAGAAGCACAACCTGGTCCTGCCAGACAGCGTGAAGGCTCGCTACCTGGAAGAGGGAGCAGGCCTGAGCATGCAGAATCGGATTAACATGAAGACGTTGGCCGCGGGACAGGAAGGATACGCTGCGGCGAGAAGTGCGTTGCTCAAAATGGATGTTCAGGACAAGCCGATCCTCCCAAGCACGACGACGACGATCAAGAGCTTCCCGGCGGACGTCCAGGAGCCCGTGCAGGACCAGAACGCCGACGAGGAAGTTAGGGGGGTGTACCTGACCGACATCGACGACTCCGTGGAGCTTCCCGAAGACGACGTGGACACCTTTCTCGCGGCGCTCGACGAGCAGGACCTCGGGGAGCACGAGGTGCTGCAGGTCTTCGCGGCGGTCGTGGAGGACCGGCCTGGGAGGCCTCGCCGAAGAACGTGGCAGGAGGCTCGTCGCATGAAGGCGGCCAAGAAGGTGGATCGTGATTTTTTTGACCGGCGCCGCGCCTCGATGCCCGGATTCAAGCGATTGACGATGAGTGATGTGAAGAAGCGCACGAGGTGCGCGAATTGTGGTGAGCGTGGACACTGGGCGGAGACGTGCAAGAACGAGTTCAGGTCGAAGGCCGATCGGATAGCGGGCGAGAGGAACGGTGGCAAGAAGGACGTCTCCAAGAGCTTCTTCCACGACTTCGAGACGGGCGAGGGCGACTTCACGGCCATCTCGGTGACCGACTGGAACATGCTGATGAAGACGTTTGCGGGCGCTCCGAATCTCTCCCTGAGGCAGATGGGCGACCGCGCGCTGGTGAGCGCGGCCGCCGCTCAGGCCCTCGTGGGGGAGATCGATCTCGATCGCATGGTCGACGCCTTCAGCCGGCGCGGCTTCAAGATTATAGCGAAGAAGGGCCCGGTGGTGGGGGTGGCGGCGGGGGGCGTCGGAGGGCGAGTCGCACCTGCGGGTCGAGCCTGGGGGCCCGTGAGCATCTGGAAGTGCAGCATAGTGGAGTTTCTCATCTTACCAGGCAGGTGCCCCCCACTTCTGCCGGCTCGCTACCTCGAGCCCCTTCGCGCCGTAGTGGACTTGGCGAGTGACGAGGTGGCGCTGGGCAGGCTGGACAAGGTACGGGGGCCCCTGGTGAGGCGCGAGGCGGGCCACAGGTCGCTCTCCCTCATCCACTGCGAGCCCGAGGACTTCCACGTCGATCTGGATTTCCTGAGCCGGATCCCTGAGGACTGCCGCGGGGAGTGCGGGAGGGGATGGGCGCTAGAGCCAGCTAGTTCAGACATCTCTCTCCTTCCCCCCCCCTTCTCGGGGGCGTCTTGGGGTCCTCGGGGGAGTCTCGAGGGGCAGCGGTCCAACTTAACAGGGCCGGATCCGTAGCCGTCTCGGCTCAACGCGTCGCTGGTTCCTCTCCAGCGGGCGCGAAGAATTGTCACGAGGGTGAAGAATCTCCAACAAGCCGGTGCGGACGTCGAGGCCACGCCGGGAGGGCAATCTCCTGGCGTCCATCCACGAGAGCGAGGGCGAGGAGCTGGACGGTGGCTGGGACCAGCGGCTGGGAGGAGGTGGGCGACGCGCCGGCGGAGATAGACCTGGCGAGGGAGACGAT